GGTCACACAAGGGACAGGGCGGGTCCTGAGGCCCCTCTGCTAGCAAACCTGCTCCCCGCTGTGCTTTACGGCCAGGCTCTCCTGACCACCTTCTCATCCCTTCGCTGCCCCTCCATCACCTGGACTCCCCAGCTAAGCCCTTCTGATCCCTCCTCTGAGACCTTCACCACCCCCTGTCCAGGGTTGATCACCTGTCTTGAGAAGGGCCTGTAGAGAAAGTCCTGAGAACCATGAGCAAAGACCAAAGAAACACAAAATTCAGTTGGTTCTAGCCCTGGAAATGCCACCAGCCGTGGTGAGGAGCCAGGATGTGAGGACAGGAGAACAGGACATAGGAGGCAGGAAAAGCCAGACCAAGAGAGGCAGGTGGATAGCATCGAGGGGAGCAGAGTGCCTCTACCAGGGCTCAGGTTCAGGCAGGGATTGGGGGCCGGGGCCTGCATCTGGACAGAGCACCCGAGAAGAAGGAAGACATTTCAGGGCAGGGGCATGCGAATGTTGGAGAGGGGCTATGAGCAAGTCAGCTTGGAGGAGCTCAGCCATTTGGGGATCTGCAAGGCTGTGCAGGGTCACCCCGGCCACACTGGGCTGTCATGGGCCGGGAAGGGCAGACTCCAAACTCCCTCTGAGCCGTGACTGCCCTTCACTAGATGGTCTCCTTTCCCATCTGTGAGGCTCAAGGAGGGGAGCCTGCCGGCCATCTCTGAGTCCCTGGGGCCCAGCACGGGGTCTGCTCATGAGATGTTCAGGAAGCATCCTGCTGGGGTGCTGGCAGCCTGGGAAGGTGGCTCTGTTGGTGGATAGAGCTGGAAATGAAGCTGGGCCATTTTTAATGAGCTTCAAGGGGCTCAGTATAATATCCAGAACACCTGTTGAGGCATTAGGAGTGCTGGGCTCCAGCCCCGTGTGCGTGCTCAGTCATTCAGTCGTGTCTGACTCTTTGTGACCCATGGACTGTAGCCTGCCAAGCATTTCTGTCCATGGGATTCTCTCAGCAAGAATACTGGAGTGGGTTGCTATTCCCTTCTCCAGGGATCTTCCCAACCCAGGGATTGAACCCAGGTCTCCTGCATTGCAGGCAGAGTCTTTACCGCTGGGCCACCAAGGAAGCCCAGGCTCCAGCCCTAACTCTGTGACAAATAAAGAGGTCACTTCCCCTAACTGGGCATGTCCTCTCTTATGTGAAATGAGGGCATTGAACCAGCTGGTATCTGAGGGCTTGTCCAGCTCCAGTAACATGGGAATCTCCCTCTTACATCGGATGCTGACCTCTCCCTAGTGACCTGTGGGTCAAGTCCTCCCCACACCACCGGGAAGAGCTCTACACACGCCCCAGGCAAGCAACCCTGGACAGGTGGGCCTTCATTCACCTGGGGAAGGCTTGTGCTTTCTCAGACACAGGACCCGTGGTGCCCAGCCACCAGGCTCACCACAAGGTAGCCTTGCACCCAAGAGTCATGGCATGGAAATTTTGTGTTGAAGGGATATCCTTCAACAGCATCTTCAGTCTAAAGCCCCACTTGCTCATTGTTCAGACCTAGTCCTAGAGAAGGGACCATGACCTGCTCCATGCAACATTCCCATGAATATTCCTAGCATTCCTGATCTGCCTAAGTTCTGAGGAAGAAAGAGATTCACCAGTAGGATTCAAATCTTTTAATTTGCGAATGACCAACTTCCTCCTTCACCCTCCCTTTAGTCCATAACACCCCCTCCCTGGCCGAGCTTCATCAAATGTCAGACTAGCCCCCACAGACAAGTCCGCGTGACTTCTCAGGCCTGGCTCCATCACTGTAGGCTGGGGTAGTAGACAGTAGGCTAGGGAGCTAGTGAATCCAAAGGAGATGAGTCTGGGCTCCCCTGTCCCACTTTCTGGCTGGGCTCAGAAGCCAGGTATCCCCAGGGTCACTGCTGGTCCCCTGTGAAGATGGAGCCAGGTGGGGTAGGGCATGGGAGGGGTAGCTGGGTTGGGGGGCAGGGGGCATCTCCTCTCCTCAGAGGATAGGCACTCACCCTGGGCAGCCCTGGGCACTATCTCGGTCCGGTAGATCTTGAAGGCATCATAGGCAAAGACGGAAACCAGGATGATGCCAAACACCTGTGGGAGCAGGAAGAGGATGCCACAACAAAGGCCATCGAGCCACTGGACACTAGGGAGAGGGAGGTGGGTGATGCAGGGCAAGGTGTGAGCCAGCCCCTGGGCACTGATGAGCTTGGGGTGGACAGAGGCACAGGAAGTGTGCGACCATCAGCCAGAGGTCCCCGGTGGGCGGGGGGGGGAGCCGGAGAATTCTGCAGGGCTGGACTCACAAAAGCAGCAATGGCAGCTCCGTCCCGGGAGGTCACAGCCGCAAAGGAGACCACCAGGAAGATGATGATGGCACTGACACAGCGGAGGAAGTCCTGGGGGTTGGGGTGCAGGGTCAAAGGGAAGCAGAGGGCAGGCAGCATCAGCCTGAAGTTCTCCAGGCTAGTCAGCGGCTTGACCCTCAGGTACTGGGAATCCCTACATGGAGATACCCTTGGACACAACATAAGGCGCTTGAGAGACAGAAAGCAAGAGAGAGCTCACACAGCTCCCCGGGGAGGGATGCAGATGGACGCAGAGGGACAGGGATCAAGATGAGAAGCCAGGGGGCTGGGCTGGGGCTGGACCTGCATCGGGGAGCAGATCTGAAGGATGGGGTCAAAGCCATGTTTAAGTATAGGACGCGGGGGCTGGATTCCTTGCTTACCCAGGAAAAGGAGAGAGGCTGGAAGAGGAAAATTCAATGTTGAAAGGAGAAGAAAGGGCCCATAATGGGGTGGGGAAGGCAGCACGGGGGGAGGCAGACCCTCACCAGACAGGGCCAGTTCAGCCGATCGAAGCGCTGGTAGTACTGGGTGGCATAGAGGAAGAGGAAGGCTAGTGTGATGAAGAACTCCAGCAGCGCGGCAGCCATGTAGGCAGAGATGGAGGCCGTGAAGCAGATGAAGATGATGAAGGTCAGGGCCTGCAGGATGGAGGGTGGGACGTGTACCAGGGAGGGGACACAGGCCCGGCCAGGCCTTTGCCTCCCTCTTTCCAGGAAGCTCCCCCAGCCGGCACACCGCCTGCCTTTGGAGGTCTTGCCAACCCTGGTGGCAGGAGCCACGCCTAGGGCCTTTGCCCATCAAGGGCCGACTCCAGCCTCCCACCTCTGCCAGCCCAGGCTCCCCCTGCTCGGGGGCCCCAGCAGCTCCAGCAGTTTAGCCAAGCTGCACAGCTCTGGGGAACACCACTCTTTGAAATCCAAAAGAGAGTGGGTTCCCCTTTAGGACTGGGAACACCAGCCCCTCGAGTGGTGGGACATCAGCCTGTGCCCCCAGGAGGTACCCCATGCCCCATAACAATTCAAGGATGCCTAAAACTCCTCTAACAAGGACCAGAGTCCCTGGTTCCATGCCAAGAGGCAAGGATTAGAAGGCAGATGCTCCAGAGTGGACGTGAGTCCCCTCAGCTCTCAAATGTAGGATGAGGTATATACTGAAGACTCAAGTTTACACTGAGGTCTTGCTAAGCGAATAAGGGAAGGTACTTTCCGAGGACAGATGTTCACAGGGAGCAGGCAACAGATAAAGTGGGGCTGCAGAAAGTCTGCCCTTTCGGGTAACTGAACTTCTTGGACATGCTGAGAAGCGGCCACCTGAGAGCCCGGGGAGAGGCCGGCTGGTGTTAGCCCTGTCCCAGCCCATCCTCAGGCTCCGTCAGTGTCCCATAGAGCGGTCCTCTGTCTGGCTTCAATCCTTCCTGAGGCACTGAAACCTGCTGTCGCCGCCTCCAGGTGAAGAAGCAGCAAGAAGGCAGGGGAGGAGATGCGGGGAGGGTCGTTGGGGCAGGCGGGGTGTCCGGAGAGCCGGGGGAGGGAGGCTCCTGAGGGGTGAGCCCTGAGGGGCCCGGGGCTGGGAGGTGAAGCTCTAGGCTGGGGAGGTGGCTGTTACCAGCTCAGTCTCCAGAAGGATGCCTTTGAGGGAGGAGAGGAAGGTCTTGTCCACCGCAAAGCCCTCCAGCCCTGCAGCTGTCCCCGCCTCGGGGGGCCGGTCCCGACGACTCCAAGCATTGAACATCTCCAGGAGGCCCACCGGGTACAGCCCCCCACTGCCACCAGCCCAAGAAGGAAAACAGGAAGATGGAAACCTGGTGGGATGGGGAAGCAGACAGGAGCAGGAAAGGCACTGCGAGGAACCTGCAAGTGAAGCGGGCAGGCCTGCTGTGGGGCCCCGGAGAAGGCGGCCGCGGGGTGGGGGCGGCGGGTGGGGGCGGGGGTGCTTGCCCAGATGGGCCTTCACCCAGCTGCCCAGAGTGCCCTGCTGGGGCCTGCACTGGTCCCCAGGAGGCACGTGGAAGAGGAGGGGCGGGGAAGAGAGGAGGGGTCAGCTCTCCTCCTACTTGAAGCCTGACCCCGCCCACCCGCCGAGGAGGAAGGGAGGAGGGGGGGCCGGACTGCGGAGAAACCTGGAGGAGCTGGGAGGTGAGCCAAGAAATGGGCGAGACGGCTGCTGCTGGCGAGACTAGGAGCCCCCAAAAACCCAAGACTGAGGAAGCTTGCGTCCTCCCTTCCGTAACCTTAACCCTCTTCCTCGCCATCCTTTCTCTCTTTTCCTTTTAGGGAGGGTGTGAGCTGGAGCCCGGCCCAGGCAGCACCCCTCAGAACCAAGCTGTAGCGGCCAAAACTGAGGACAAAGGCAGATTGTTGGGGGGACAAGGGGGCGCTGTGTGCCTGCTGCAGTGCCTCAATGGGCCTCTGTTTCTCCAGTATGCCAGGAGGGCAGCCTGACCCCCACCCCGGTGTTTAGGGCTGGGCCAGGGAGCCAGGAAGGGGAGGGAGGGGGGACCACAGCGGAAACTCTGGAGGGCAGTAGGTGAGGGCTGACAGTGGGGAGGAAATGGGACTGGGCTGGGGACCACAAGATACTCAGGCACCAGGGATGCCAAAGACAAATTAGGCCACTTTTAAGTACAGATTATTTATTTGAACAATTCTCTCCCTGCTCAATAACAGCCTCTTCCTTAGCAGCATTCATGTCAAAAGACTAGCAACTCCACCCGGAGGCTTAAGGTCGGTGCTCCAAAGTCGATGCTCACTAAGTGTTTGATGAATGAATGAAGGAGCGAACAAACTAATGAATTGAAGGGCTCTCCACTGGCGAAGGGAAAAATATCTGAAAGTGCCTGTGCTGCACCAGGGCGGCTGGGGGTGGGAGGAAAGAAGAGACAGACATAGCAGAGCTTTGAAGACCTTTCCCAGAAGGAAATGACAGGATGCCAGTTTCCAGGGACCATAAACAGCCGCTGCTGCCTTGGATTTGCCCTGCATTTCTCATCCACTCCAAAAAGTGCAAAGTGCGGTCCCCCCAAAGTCCCCCATCCTGTCCCAAGATCCTGCTGCTACAGGTGGTCCTTTGGAGGGGCTGTGCCTTCGGGTGTCCTGGTTCACCACAGCAGGTGGTTGTCCAACCAGCTCCAGTGTTTGCCCAGGGACCAGCCATGGTCGGCACAGCTAGGCCATCACACGGGGCCGCACACACACGCAAGCCAAGGAGACACGGTAGAGCCTGCGTTCCAGGCAGTAGCCATGGTGGGTGCCCTGCTGTCCTGGGCACGGCCGCCGGTAGAAGACAGTCTGGTTGTGGTAGAGCAGCTCTGAGTTTCCCAGGGGGTCCATGTGGGAGCCCGTCTTAAGGCTGACACAGTGTGGACACAGGCAACGTGCATGGTACAGATCCTGCGGGAGCCGGTCCAAGTCTCTGTCCAACCTGTGGAGCGGCAAGAGTCAGGTCCTAGAAGGAGGCTGACTGGGAGACCAGGGGACTGGCCAGGAGCAGTGAGGACCCAGGGTAGAAATGCCAGGGCTGTTGTCAGTTCTGTGGCTTTGGTTCCAGCTCTGGTACCCACAAGCCAGGTGGCTATGAACAAGTCACCCCCTCTTCCCTGGGATTTATTCTCCTGAACTGTGAGGGTCGGGGATGGAAGAGTGACTTTCCAAATGGTCCCGGAGCCCTGAGGGAGGTGGGCCAGGTGGGGAGCTCCACTGGGGCTTCTACCAGACCAGCTGTGGTTCCATGTGATACATATGCTGGGTTCTAGCATCAGGTTTCCTTTTGTGATTGTTAGCATATATGTTTTTTTTTTTTTAATTTTAAAGTAAAAATTGCTCTTATATCCAAGCATAAGAAAGCATGAAGTGAAGGCTGACAGTCTGTCTCCCACCAGGCCCACTCCCCTGAGGGAGCTACTGTCCGCCATGTCCTGCCCATCCTCCAGATTCCAACTGTACATGTATTTATAAGCACGTGTTAGGGTGTATGGTAAGACTTATTGACTTATTCTGAAAAGGCTTCATAGCCCCCAGAAGATGTGAGAAGTCAGTGCTCCAAAGGCCTGTGCTCCAGAAACCCAGTAGGAAACAGACAATAGGTTAGAAAACCATCCTCCAAACAGACAGGCCTTTGCAAACTGGGGCTCGGCTAGTGTCGCATTTCCCAGAGTGGATTCCCTGATAAATACTCTGTAGCGGAAGGGGTCTGTGGTCAAATGATTCTAGGAAGCATTGAGTTTAATGGGCTCTTCTCTGCAGACTTCTCGCTGTGAATGTGCTGAGCACATTGAGAACCTCCAAGGGGGTGGGGACTGCAGCAGTTTTCCCCCCACCTATGCGACATCATCAGTTTTTTTCTGAGGAACAGCTTGTGCGACACATGTTGCAAAGCACATGCTTCGGGGAAGACCAGCCCCCGAAGGGTTCACAGCCCACATGTCTAGACCCCAGCCAAGTCAGCCGTATGGCACCCAGCATCCCAAGGGTTCCCAACCTCTTTAGATTTACTCTAGAAGATAGCCAGGCTACCGAGACCACTTCAAAGCATAGTGGCCTGGAGTCTCCACCCTTGATCTAGTCTCAATCAAAGCTGGCCCCCTCCCTACCCACTGACCTTCTCCTCTCATCCCCAAAGCCAAGGATAAGCCAGAAATAGACTTACGGTGGGTGGAAACACAGATACCCCATGAGAGTGCGAGACAGGAGGAGAAATATGTTTGGGATCCCTACAGTACTAATTTTTAGTATTTTCATTCATTGTCCCAATTTCAGTACTTTCTAATATTTGTTTACATCATGACATAGAGAATTATAATATGCAGCAGCACATGGAGAAAGAATAAGACAGTTCATGATCAAAGACAACCAGCCTGGAGGTCCAGCCACCCAATTGCCCCCCTAGAGCAGAAAGAGGGTATAATTATAGCCCATCCATGGCTCAAGGTACTAGCATTTGGTATTGGGCTTCATTGCTCCTATATTGTACATTATTCCATGATATTTTTAGAAACTGGAAAAACACAGCCATTGTAGGGGAAGGAAAAGGAGAAGGGAGAGGAGGAGGGGGAGAAGTAGACGAAGAAGAAGAAAAGAAGGAAACCTACATTTTCTGTACTAAGTTTAGATTTTTCACTCTTGATTTCACATGATCTGCATCATTAGGCTATAGAATATTATTTCATTTTACAGATGAAAAAAACTAAGCTTTGAACCCTTGACCGATTGGCCCAAGGTCACCAAAAATGTGTCAGGGCTAGACCTTGTCTAACACCCAAACTGGGTAACCTCCCTGAGGTAAAAGGGGGGCAGATAGGCTGGAGTTGGCTGGAACTCCCCTGGTCCCTCACACACATCCTGACCAGCACGTGAGCAGGCGTTTAGGAGGGGGCAGGGGCTGGCAGACTCACTCATATATCCAGGGGGCGATGGAGCGGCTGTTGAGGGGTCCATCCTTGCTGGAACTGCAGGATTCTGGGTGGTGGGCGAGGCTGGAGGTCTCTGGGGGAGACATGAGCATACTGTTCCACTTCAGCCACTCCTCAGTGGGGTTCTGTCCTTTGCTGGGGCAGCAGCCGGGCCAGTGTGTGCAGCGCCTCTGGGACCCCAAACAGAGGGTGTGGGTTCCCATGACCATTGCCAAGAATGCCACCGCCTGTAGGAAAAGGCCAGTGAGAAAACTGCTCCCACCTAGTCTGGATGCCCCCTCCGCCAGCTGTTCTCTGAGATTCTAATTCAAGCCCCATCTGGTCCGCATGAGCTCCCTCCATCCCCAGCCACATCTCTGCTCCTGCCTCACTCAGCACCATCCCAGCCAGGCCCCTGCACACTTACCTGGTACATGCTGGACGCTGCTTGCCAAGCCTCAGTGCCGCGCTGGCTGACAGCAAGGCCTTGTGGAAGCTGTTTGACTGGAGCAGTTTAGGAGTCCTGGTTTTATTTTCAGCAAACCTGTTTTGTTTATTCAAATTTATTTCCACTACCTTTTGGAGGGTGTGACCTGAGATTAAAAAACAAAACAAAACCCAAGAAAAAAAAAAAAAACTTGAAAGTCTTTCCAAAAGCTGCTTTAAATGCCAGACTCATGGAAGTTGTGATTAACGTGTCGTAAGCCTATTGAGTAAATGTTGTTCTTTGCCCTTTTCTGGGCGTGGGGTCAAAGTAATAGTATCCTGTTATTCTGTGCCTTGGGGAACAGGCATTATGAGAATTCTGATGGTTCACTTGATACCTGATGTTAGGGAACATCACTTGGACTCTCTCTAAGAGGTGTTGCTGCTATAATCCCTGCTGCTCCCACCCAGGGTCTTGTCTCTTCTCTTCCCTTTCTTCTCAGATGTCCTCAGGATCCTCCACCTCAGCAAACATCTCCCTCTGTCTGCTTGTTCTCTGACCCCCTCCTCATCCTCCATGACCCCAGCTTCTATGACCACAATCATCTATGACTTCCCATGTCCATTATTTCTCCCCAACTTCCCCTTGCCCTCCCCAAGGGCCACCCACCCCCATCCCTGTGCATCCCCTGGCCTCCTCTGGACTCAGGATACAGGCTTAACCCCACAGGCTGCCAGAAAGGCGTGGACTCCAACAATTTGTTGGCTGGATGTGCAGGGTCTGATGGAAGAAGTGGTGAGTGAGTGTTCCCATGGCACAAATGAGAAGGCAGGGCCAGGAAGAGAGGCACGGTGACAGCCTTAGCTGAGAGCCAACAGAAGCACCCAGCTCCCAGATCAGCTTGTCCCACCCCTGCTCACTACTTGAGGAGCATGGCAGGGGGAGCTTCTACTCTCAGGCCATGGGGTAAGGCCATGCAGTCACAGGTCCGTGGACCACTGTCGGCCAGGAGAGGATATTGTGCTCTGGCAAGGTTCCAGCTGGGCCTGGCCGCAAAGACACAGGTCAGTCAGGGGCCACCCATCTGGGGGGCTCTCTGCCTATTTTGCTCCAATCTTTTTCTCTGCATCCTTGTTCAACAACTCTCCTCATCCCCTCACTACCACCCCCCTCACTCCAACACACTCATATACAGACACCGTCTCTAGAGTGATGTATCCTGATTTGCATGTGCTTTCCCTTAGAAAATACTCCTCTGGTAACCAACGACTCAGGAAATAAACAAAAGGAACCAGGAATAACTTAAATGGCTGAGTGATAAGGAATCTTTTGAATGCTTTAGGGCAAAGCAGCCCTAAAAGAGGTGTGATGAGGTCAGAGGGCATTCGGAAGTGGTAGAAGCTGATCTGGTGAGCTCTGAGGGTCCTGGAAGTGGACAGGCGGTGAGAGCTTAGGGTCAACAGGTGATGGCTAGGAGAGCAGGGCCAGTGAGGAAGCACACTGGGGCCAGGAATACACTGCCCCACTCCCACTGGCCCACTCTCTGGCCCTGTGCTCCCAGGCACCCTCTCACTTCCATCCACCCCCTCAGCTCCTGAGATCATGTGCCAGGATGGTGCCAAGCCCTGCACATGCATCAGCTCGTTTTGCCTTTATAATAAAACCATGAGATGGCAAATACTGTCCCCATGTTAAGATGAAGAAACTGAGACCCAAAGAAATTGAGTAAGCTCATCAAGGTTTCACAGTTAGGAGGAAGCCAAACTGGTTTCCTCCCAGCTCTGAAAAACTCCAAAGCTAAGCTCCTGGTATGGAAATGCCACACTGTGGTGACCTCTGGACAGAAGGGAAGCCCCTGCTATAAGAGATTTCCTACTCACCCAGGTGTGGGCTGGACAGATCTCACCTAAACCCCCCCGAGGCCACAGGGCATTCCTGCCCACTCAGGCATTTAGCCCAGCTGGCTGGGATCCACAACTCTGGCTACCTCTCCCCCAGCCTCAGGTCTGCCCCTTGGCCCCCAGAGTGGCTTCTGGTGTTCCCAAACAACCCCCAACCCCAGCAAAGGCTTTGAGGGGATCTTCCAAAAGTGCTGGATCCCTCGGGTTTCCCCCAAACCGAACAGAGTCAGAGGCTGACACAGGCCCAGACCTCTTGATCTGGGCCTGCATCCAGGACAGGATGCCTGAAAGAACTGGAAGGGAAACCAAACACTTGTTTCACTTGCTGACGCTGCATATGACCCACACTGATCGCATGGGATGTTCCCTCCAGGAGAGGCTTTGGGGTTGTCCTTCTGCCTCTGTACCATGACTTCCTCTGAGAAAACTGCTGAGGGGCATTCTCCCCTGTGATGACCAGGCCTGACACAGAACCTGTCCTTTGAGACACACACCCCTGCCCCCCGCCCCCGCCCACCTCCTTGCAGTTGCTCAGCCTCCACCCTTATCTCAGGAGCAGCTGTGGGTCTCCCCAGGGTGACTCCCTGCCATGAGAAACATTTTCCAGAGGGTTTCCTCTTGGGGTGACTAAGAATCCCTGACTCACTTCAGCTTCCAGGGAATCCCTGGGGGTGTAGAGAGATGGGGGTGGCCATGGGGGAGAATGTGGAGATAGAAGCAAAGTTCGTCCAGTATCTGATATCAATGGTGCCTCCCCATGTGTCCTCACCTGCCTGGGGCTGACCTGGCAGCCACAGGGGAGATCTGAGCATGCAATCCCAAGCCTCCCCAAGCCACTGATACAAGGTCAACCCCTAGCAGGAAAGAAGAGGGAAGATGTGAAAGGGAGCATCCCACCTGGGCCAAGAAAGCCTGAAAGATGCTACAACGGCTGTCCTGCCCTTCCTCAGAAAGATATTCGAGTTCTCATCCATGGCCTTGAAGTCCTGCCCCTGCCCCTGATCAGCTCTTCACAGAGGGCCCTCTCTTCTTGTTCATAGCACTGGGCATGCTTGGTGGGAGGCTGAGGGGGAAGCGGGCAACAAGGATGGCCGCAAAAGTATCTTCCTGGTGGCTCAGACAGTAAAGAATCTACATGCAGTGTGGGAAACCTGGGTTCGATCCCTGGGTTGGGAAGATCCCCTGGAGAAGGGCATGGCAACCCACTCCAGCATGCTTGCCCGGAGAATCCCATGGACAGAGGAGCCCGGTGGGCTACAGTCCATGGGATCACAAAGAGTTAGACGTGACTGAGCAACTAACACAAAAGTGCCAACCAGCCTAGCAGCCCCTGAAATCATGCTGAAACCACAGGGCTCCGCAGGGCCATGGACGCTCAGGTGAACTCACCTGAGGGGACGGTAGGGGCGGCAGTGGTTAAAATGTAAAAACACTTCTGCCCCCTGCTGGTAAATAGATGCTGTCCTAAGCACTGGAGCACCCCCACACTGCAACCTCCCTGTGATCCCACAACTGAAGGAAGACTGCCTGGCCCAGATGGAGGCCTTCAGAACAGACTCCCATGACCTGTTAGGGACACCATGATGGCACTGGTTGCTAATTATTTATAGGATCTCCTTTAGTTACAAAGATTCCCCTGCCTTCAAAAGGAGCCTGCCTTCAAAGAGAAACAGTCTTGCCTGGGAGACATGCAGAGAATCAGAGCAAACAGGACAAAAAGCTCCCCTAGCCAAGGGCTGGTTCCTCCCCAGGCGGGCCTTTGCCTTTCTCAGTCCTACAATCATGGCTGCCCTGTTCATTCATCCATTTGCCAAACATTTATTGAGCACCTACTAGATGCCAGACACCAGTCTAAGTGCTAGGAAGGCAGAGGAGGACAAGTCAGATAAGGCTCCTGCCACATGAAGCTTATGTCTTAGGAGGAGAGGGATGGTAAATAAGGAAACAAGATAATTTTTCATAATAATAAGTGCTATGAAGAAAGTGAAACAATGTTAAGAGATAGGGAATTACTGGGGGAGGGAGAGGGCAACTTTAACTTAAAAAGTCAGAGAAGGACGTTCTGAAGATGTGGAATTTGACATGATGATGGAAAGGTTCTGGGGAAAGAGTGTTCCAGGCAGAGGGAACAGGACAAAAGAATCCTAGAGGTGGAAGGTCTTAGCACATTTAAGAGACAGAAAGGACAATGTGGTTGGGAAAAAAAAAGCTAAGGAAGAGTGTAGAATGAGATGAAGTGAAGAGGTGGGCAGGGGGACTTCAGTAGCTAAGACCCCTTGCTCCCAGTGCAGGCGGCCAGGGTTCAATCCCTGGTCAGGGAACTAGATCCCACATGTCACAACTAAAGCTCCTAAGGATGAGGACGAGAGCAGCTGGAGGGCCCTGCTGGGAAGGGACACGAGTGGGAGAGAAGACTGGGACCCAGGAAACCCAGTGGAGGAGTTCCTTCCTTTCTACCCCGTGAACAGTGGCAAAGGCAAGCCCTGAAGCTGAGGGCCCCCTATCTGAGGCAGCCGCCCACCCAGGATCTTAGCTACCCATCCAGTCTGGGTTTTTCCCAACCTAACCTGGGACCCAGAACTTCCCCTGAACAAGTTAGAATCATGTTAAACCTCTGTTTGCAAAGGAGAGGGCAGAGATGAGTCATAAGGACAAGGAGAAGACTTCACCTGCCCTTGACACAGAATGCTTGGAGCTTTCATGCAGGTACAAGCTGGGGGGGTGGGGTCATGGGGAGCTAAGGTGAAGAGGGAAAGTCATAATGCTAATCACTTCACATGTATTCACACCTCACCAAAGTCACTATTCTGGATGAAGAACGGAGCTTCAGAGATGTTCCAGAACTTGACCAACTTCACACAGTTGACAAACCAGGATTCACCCCCCACCCCCACCTCTCCCCGGGGCTTCCTGGGTAGCTCAGCAGGTAAAGAATCCTCCTGCAAAGCAGGAGACCCCAGCTCAATCCCCAGGTTGGGAAGTTTCCCTGGAGAAGGGATAGGCTACCCACGCCAGTATTCTGAGGCTTCCCTGATGGCTCTCAGGCAGTAAAGAATCTGCCTGCAACGTGGGAGACCTGAGTTCGATTCCTGGGTCGGGAAGATTCCCTGGAGAAGGGAATGGCTACTCACTCCAGTATTCTGGCCTGGAGAATTCCAAGGACAGGGGAGCCTGACAGCCCACAGTCCATGGCCTCGCAAAGGGTCTGACACGACTGAGCGACCTTCACTTCACTTCACTTCACCTCTCCCCAAGTCTAACTGGCTCCATTCTCTGCCTGGGTACTCCAGAAGCACAGATTCATTTTCCGTGCAGGTTTGCACTCTGCTCCCCTCGCCAGGGACTTCCCTGGTGGCTCAGATGGTAAAGATCTGCCTACAATGTGGGAGACCTGGGTTCAGTCCCTGGGTTGGGAAGATCTCCTGGAGAAGGAAATGGCAACCCACTCCAATATTCTTGCTGGGAAAATCCCATGGATGGAGGAGCCTGGTAGGCTACAGTTCATGGGGTCCCAAAGAGTCAGACACAACTGAGCGACTTCACTTTCACTTTCCCTTTCCCCTCACCTAGCTACAGGCACTAGCTAGATGCTCAGCTACAATGAAGGCAGTGAGCCTTCTTGCCCACCTCCCAAACCACCATTCTGCCAGGTCCCAGCACTTCCTTCCTGCTTAGTCTTTTCCAGTCTCTATTTCCTGTGCGCCAGTCAGAGCATTCATCTTTAGAACTGGGTTTCTTGCCCACCTCCAATTTGCCTTGCCACCTCTTGAGCCCCAATTTGCCTTGGCAGTCCTCTGGGCAGAGATTATACCAGTCACTCCCCAGTAGCTGACTATCTGTATTTCAGGCAGCTAGGCCCCTAGGGCTGGGGTCTGAAAGAGGCTGGACCAGGTTGGAGCTGGAATAGGGAATAGGGAATAGGAGCTGGAATAGCGAATAGCTGAAATAGGGAGTTCTACCATCAGATGCATCTGAAAATTTAAAAGTTCCTCTCCCATCCCAAAGGAGTCTGAGTTTGTTAATAGGTGCCCAAGCAATAGGGAGAGGAAGGCGCTGGGGCAGGTGTCTCTCCCTCCCTTCCTGGCAAATGCCTGGACTTGTGGGCCTGTGGAATGTGGAGGTGGGGTGGACGGAAGGAGAGGTAGAGAGCCTCTATCCAAGGCCTCAGGTTCACAAAGGGCCTTAAATTAGACTTCAGATGTTATCTCCAGATGAGGCTATGCATAGAGCCATTGTCTATTGTGTTTGAGTGTTAATACGTTAAATGTAAATACTGAAAATATGCTGCTGCTGCTGCTGCTAAGTCGCTTCAGTCGTGTCTGACTCTCTGCGACCCTATAGAAGGCAGCCCACCAGGCTCCGCCGTCCCTGGGATTCTCCATGCAAGAACACTGGAGTGGGTTGCCATTTCCTGCCAAAGCATTAAAGTGAAAATTGAAAAGTGAAAGTGAAGTCACCCAGTCGCGTCCGACTCGTAGGGACCCCATGGACTGCAGCCTACCAGGCTCCTCCGTCCATGGGATTTTCCAGGCAAGAGTACTGGAGTGGGGTGCCATTGCCTTCTCCTGAAAATATGCTACAGCTTTTCAATCCAGATTGGCATCTCATTTTTTTAAATTCTAGGACCCTCAAAAACAGAAGAAGGCTTCTCCAGCGCCCCCGAGGGGGCCTTGCAGTCTTCTTTCCATGAGAAAGAAAGCGGGGAGGGAGTGGGAAGCTGGAGGGATGCCGGCAGACGAAGGAGCAATAATAGGGCCGACAGGTGTGGGGACCAGAGCCTCGTCCTTTCAGCTGACGCTCCCGGGGGTCCAAATCCCAGCTTCTCCGAAAGTGTCCGCAGGGCCCACTTCTACTCCACTCAGCAGGAGTGAGCCAGAGTGAGGGCAGAGGACAGGCCTAGACTGGCAGAGGAGCGTCAGAGGCGGCACAACCCGCCAGCTCGCCCGCCCCAAGCTCCGGAACCAGCCGCCCAGGCCTCACGTTCCCTCGCCCGGGCAGGAATCTGTGTCAGCTCCAGAGCCCCGGCCGGCCATCCCTGCGGAGGCCACGCCAAGCGAGCAGACAGGCTCCGCGGAGGACCCCAGAAAGGCGGAGGGAGCGTGCTCCCTACCAAAGGAAAGACAGATGTGGGGCTGATGAAAGGGAAGCCGAGAGGCGCGGGGCAGGCGGGCGAGAGCGGGGGCGTGACGGGGAGACGACAGCTCCGGGGAGGGAGGGAACCAGACCACCTGGAGGTCCGCCGCGTCGTCGGGCTGGAGCAGGAGGGGGAGAGGAGCCGGGAGGGGGCGCGCAATTTAGCCCGAGGGTCCGAGCTGAAACTCAACACCCGCCTTCGGAGGGATCGTCCCCCTTTCTCCTCCGCCCCTTCCCTTCCCCTCCCTTCTCCCCTCCCTCCTTTCTCTTAATCCCCGGGACTGAGCCCCGCGCCGGAGCCGAGAGGGCCCGAGGGGAGGAGAACGGAGCTGCACCCAGGGGGCGCCGGGAGCCTGGGCAGGGGCGGGGAGGGAAGGGGAGCCGCGAGCGACCCCCGGACCCTTTCCAGCCCTCTCAGTGGCCCCCCAACCCCACTTCCAGGCGAGTCCGCAGGACCCTGGCCGCTGCGCCTCCTTAGCCTTCTCTCTGCGCCTTCTTTTGCTTTGCGGCCTTTCTCTCCGTTCCCAGAGACACCTGGGCTGCCACGAGCCCTGGGGCGCTCAAAGGGGCCCCGCCGAGGGTGCGTGTAAGCGGGGCGGCGGGGGCCAGCGTCCTGGGCCAGGGGGCCGAGGGTGGGAGCGGGAGTACTGGCGCCGAGGGTTGGAGGGGGGCGCGTGGGGAAGGCAGTCCCGCCCCCTCGAGCCCGGCCCGCGTGCGCGTAGCGAGGCGCGGTCCCGGCGCCCCCAGACCCCCAGGCGCGCTACGAGCAAGTGTGCGTGCTCGGGAGCCCGCTTTGGGGGCTTCGAGCGTTGGGGCAGAAAGCCTCCACTGGGGTGCTCCAGCTCAGCCGCCCTGCTCTCCGAGGCCTTTGGCTCCAGCCTGGCCTCCGCTGCCAAGTCGAGCGACTTTGAAGAGAGAAAAACTTCTCGATTTTCACTACCCCCGCCCCCTCCCTCGCAGCTGGGCTGCGGCAGAGCCCCCGACGCCCGGATCTCAGCCCCGGGAGCACCGCTCTCCGGCGCGGCTCCGGGTGGAGAAGGTTGGCCCCTAAACTCGCTCGTCCAGCCCGACCGCCCCGGCGGCTTCTCCCTGCCCTCGGGGCCGTCCTGAGCGGCCCGGAGAGGCGTCGAGCGCAGCCCCAGCTCCCACCTCCTCGCCCGTCCTGGCACTGGAAGGGAGCTTTGGGCCCATGCGGACCCGTGGTGCCCCCGCGGCCTAGGACAGGCAGCTCCGGGGGCCTGGCCCACCCTGCAGCCCCTGGGAGGCCGCGGGGACGGGGCAGAGCGCGCGCCCTTGGATGAGGTCCCGCAGCGACGCCCCGGCCCGCCCCGCTCCTCCTCCTGCCCGGCCAAGCTGCCTCCCATTTGGGGAGTTGTGTGGGTTTTCTTTCTCCTCCTCCAACCTCCGGGGAGGCCACGATTCAGGCGCCTCAGCCTGGGGCCGCCTCCATGGTGCGGGTCAGCCGCTGCTGAAGTCAGCGAAACCGAGCCTGGCCTGGAGCTGGCCACGAGGAAGGCCAAGGCCATGGCCATAGCCACGTCGGTGAGTCCAACCAGAGAAAGGAGGCTGACGGGCAGAGACCGCCACGGTCTGTCCTGCACTCCTGTCACTTTTATTTCTGCCTTCTCTTTGTCTCGCTCCTTCGTCCCTTGCTTCTTGAGGAGACTGTGTCCCCCTTCTGGCACGTTGGTTTCCCTTACCTCTCGCCTCTCATCCCTAACCCCTACTGGGCCTGGCCTCCCCTTCTCTCCTCCCCTTTCCATTCTCCTCTCTTTCTTTCTGGAGGCTGCCCCTGGAAGGAGGGGAGGGGGCAAGCTTGAGTCCTATTTCCTCTTCTATGGGCGGAACCGTTGGCCACTGGAGGTTGGCAGGGGGTTGTGATTGGGAGGGCAGTAAAAGGTTGGAAGGGAGCTGAAAGAATGGAGGTGGCTCCAGGAAAACCGGAGGGCAAAAGGCCCAAGGAAGCCCTACTCTAGAGGAGGGATGGAGGAAAGGAGGGGAAATAGAGTAAAAGATGGAGATCAGGCAGGGAGCAAGGGAAAATCGAGAGAGGAGGGGAGGTGATGTCAGCCAGCCTCTGGCCACTTTCCTGGGACTGGAGACAAAGGGAGGAGACAGCTGGCATGATGGGACAGTGGGAGGAGGCCTCCCAGGGAACGTGTGGCTCACTGCCACCCCTCTTTAAGGCAGCCACTCCCTCACAAGTCAGCTGGGCCCCTGAAGAGCGAGTAGAGCTGGGGTGGACACACCCATCATCAATCAGTCTATCAGAGACTCTAGCCCAATTCCCGCAATAGCACGGCCCGGAGGTTTGATCTCATTGGACAGAATTGAAATTGAACACAAGGAGGAGCTCTTCACAGCCCCGCCCCTGCTTTCTGAGTTGTACTCCTGTAGCCTGAATCCCAGCAACTATATCCCGTTTCTACCCTTCCTAGGCCCTAGGATGCCCAGGGAAATCGAGGCCGCCACCTGCTTTCTGGACCCCTCTGAATGGGCATTCTGGGAAGGAGGACTGTGACGCTGGGAAGAAAAGCATGGCTCCTCACCTCCTCCCACACCCCTCGAGGATGAGTTAGATTTTCACTCCTTCTCAGACCAAATTTCTCTTAGCTTCTCAATCTATATGATGGTGAGAAGACCCTAGTTCAGAGCCAGAAGCGGGGAGGTGGGGGTACTCCGGCATAAAGATGCTCCCTCAGGAACCAGCTAATCATCTTTGTAGTCCCAGGAGGTAGATCTTTCTTTTTACTTGGAAGGGGAAAGTGTTGGTATTTATGCTTGTGAAACATACAGGACCCTGATAACAGCTAATCTTCTTCGAGTATTTACTGGCCCTAAACTTTGTCTTTGGTATGTCCCGGTTCTTTGATGCATTGTCTCATCCAGTACTCACAACAACTCTGAAGCTAGTACTGTTATTATCTGAAAGTGGATATTCAGCTATGGATATGGAATTCTACAAAGGAGGAACCTGAGGCTTGGCGAGGTTAAACAGACAGCCTAAAGTCACCCAACTCGAAAGCAGCAGAGCCGGGACTCAAACCTCAGGTCTGTCTGCCTTAGAAACAGTGCTCTTAACTGCCTGCCTAGATCCAAAACACCAATTTCTAATTTACAGTTAAAAAAGTGCCAAGCTAACCAGGAATTGTGTTATCTGGCTAGCATGTTTGCTTTCTGTGGCACAATTGCCTTTAGAAGCCAAAATATAATCAGAAAAGAGTTTGATGAATTTGGAATTAGGCAAGAAGTCAGTTTGTTGTTAATATCATCCAGCCATAAAGGGCTGGACAACGTCTCCACCTGAGGGAAATATCAGTCAAGAGGAACATGGACTCTCCCTGGCTGAGCAGGCCATCCTTCGCCCAGTGTCTGTTGGCCAGATGCAGACTACCCGATATCTTGGGCTTGAGAAGTTTCACCATGTTAGTCAATCCACATGGGTTACCTGCTCAGTACTAACTACTCAATGCCTAACTACCTGTTTTCTACCATCACTGTGTAAGCCACTAGCAAACATATAGGAAGTGGAATATATTTTGATAGTGCGAGTGGCTTAAGCCTGATTCTACCAAAGGACTTGGTGGAACCAGAGTCTAGTGATGAGTGACTGGCAAAGGGAACTTGGACATTGTGAAAACTTCCTATGAACTTAAATCATGTTTGAGCTATGGATCCTCTTTTTTTTTTTTTTTTTTTTGACGTGTAGTTGATTTACAATGATGTGTTAGTTACCGCTCTACAGCAAAGTGATTCAGTTATACATATGCACACATTCCTTTTTAGTATTCTTTTCCACTATGGTTTATCATACAATATTGAATATAGTTCTCTGTGCTCTACCCTAGGACCTTGTTGTTTATCCATTCTATATACAAAAACTTACATCTGCTAACCCCAACCTCCTATTCCATCCCTCTCCCAACCCTTCCCCCTTGGCACCAGCAGTATATTATTTTCATCCGTGATTCCATTTCTGCTGCACAGATAGTTTCACTTGTGGCATATTTTATATTCCATGTATAAGTGATGTCGTATGATGTTTGTCTTTCTCTTTCTGACTTCACTTAGTGTGATAATCTCTAGTTGCATCCATGTTGCTGCAAATGGCATTTATTCATTCTCTTTATGGCTGAGTAATATTCCATTGTGTGTGTGTGCATGTGTGTAGTTTATGGCTGAGTAGTATTCTGTTTCATGGCTGAGTAGTATTCCATTGTAGTAGAATTCCATAGTATTCCATTCCATTCCAATACTGAGTAGTGTTCCATGTGGATATATATACCACATCTTCATCCATGTATCTGTTAATGGACATTTAGGGTGTTTCCATGTCTTGACTATTATAAATAGTGCTGTGATGAAATTAGGGGTGCATGTATCTTTTTGAATTATAATTTTGTCAGATATATGTCGTAGGCCCTCTTGATTTTCCTACTGTTACTATACAAGAAGAAAAAAGTAGATACTTTCTTCTTGGCCATGCCCCACAGCTCGCAGGATCTTGGGTTCCCTAACCAGGAATTGAACTTAGGCCATGGCAGTGAAAGTCTGGCATCCTAACCACTAGGCTACCAGGGAACTCCCCAAAAGTAGATCCTTATGCTTGTGGTTGTGAAAAAGAGTGAGAGTGCAGCCTCTGGAATCACACAGCCTGGAGTTGAAATCACGCTTCACCAGCTATATGTCATTGGGCAACATACCAAGCTCTCTGTTCCAATTTCCTTTCCAAACAGGGATAATGATGGCTCCTCCCTTATCAAGCTGAGGATTAAATGAGATGAGATGATTAGTGCAAACACTTGTTCAGTGTCTAGATATATAATTTGCACTTGGTGTCTGTGATTTACCTGAGCTTATAGTGTCCAGGTGGCACTAGTGGTAAAGAACCTACCTGCTGATGCAGGGGACACAAGAGATGCAGTTTCCATCCCTGGGTCAGAAGATCCCCTGGAGGAGGGACTGGCAACCCACTCCAGTATTCTGGCCTGGAGAATCCCATGGACAGAGGAGCCTGGTGGGCTACAGTCCATAGGGTCACAAAGACTCAGACATTACTGAAGCGACTTAGCAGGCATAGCTCTCAAGGGCTTCCCAGATGGCACCAGTGCTAAAGAACCTGCCTGCCAATGCAGGAGACGTAAGAAACACAGGTTTGATCCCTGGGTCAGGAAGATCCCCTAGAAGAGGGCATGGCAACCCATTCCAGTATTCNGGAGAATCCCATGGACAGAGGAGCCTGGTGGGCTACAGTCCATAGGGTCACAAAGACTCAGACATTACTGAAGCGACTTAGCAGGCATAGCTCTCAAGGGCTTCCCAGATGGCACCAGTGCTAAAGAACCTGCCTGCCAATGCAGGAGACGTAAGAAACACAGGTTTGATCCCTGGGTCAGGAAGATCCCCTAGAAGAGGGCATGGCAACCCATTCCAGTATTCTTGCCTGGAAAAGCCCATGGAAAGAGGAGACTGGCAGGCTGTGGTCCATAGGGTTGCAAAGAGTTGGACACAACTCAAGTGACTTAGCACACATGCACATAACTCTCAAAGGAAAAAGCTTAGATATCCCCACCAGGAGAACTGGAAACAGGCTGATAAATCTTTGCTCTTGGTTGGTCCACTAGCCCCCTCTACACACACACACACACACACACACACACGAGCGTAGATACTTTTCTCTTCTCCATGGTAACGTCAGCCTCTGCTGGTAGAACCTTACTTGCTAAGACTGAGAACAAAACAATTGCTTTGGTTTCTGTTTTCTTCCCTATTATGCCAAGGCTCTGTCGGGGCTGGACTTCTCCCAGTCTCTCTCAGAATGAGGTTATCTCTTCAGCTGCTTAATCTAACCTGCTTGTAGGGGATACTGACTGGGAAACAGGGAAGGTGAAGGAGATTCTATGGGAGACCTTTGCAAGATTTCCCTGTGTAATTCATTCAACATACGTTCATGGAGGACTAACTCCAGGTCAAGCCTATTGTAGGGGCTAGGAATATAACAGTCTCTTTTCTCACAGGGCTAACAAGGGAAGAAATCTAGTTTTAAAAGTAAGTAGACAAATAGTATGGGCTTTCCTTGTGGCCTAGCTGGTAAAGAATCCACCTGCAATGCAGGAGACCTGGGTTTGATCCCTGGATTGGGAAGATCCCCTGGAGAAGGGAAAGGCTACCCACTCCAGTATTCTGGCCTGAGAATTCCATGGACTTTATTGTTCATGGGGTCGCAAACAGTCAGACATGACTGAGCGACTTTCACTTCACTTCACTTCACCTCACTTCAGACAAACAGTATAAACTATTGTGAAGGAAGTAATAGGCGGAGACAGACACAGAAGGATGTGGGGAGAAGAGCGAGAAGGAGACATTATTTATTGGCCATGCCATGCAGGATCTCAGTTCTCTGACCAGGGGTTGAACCTGCGTTATCTGTATTGGGAGCACCGAGTCTTAACCGCTGAACCACCAGGGGAGTCCCAGGAGGAGGAGACACTTAAGAAGAACTGAAGGGGCTTCCCTGGTGGCTCAGTAGTAAAGAATCTGCCTGCCAATGCAGGAAACTTGAGTTCAATCCCTGGTCTAGGAAGATCCCACACACGTCAGAGCAACTATTGAGCCTGTGCGCTAGAGCCTGGGAACCTCAACTACCGAGACCATGTGCTGCAACTACTGAAGCCCATTCACATAGAGCCTGTGCTCTGCAATGAGAGGAGCCACGGCAGTGAGTCCCATGCACCACAGCTAGAGAGTAGCCCCCGCTCTCCGCAACTAGAGAAAAAAGCCTGTGCATTGATGAAGACCCAGCACAGTAAAAAATAAATAAAATTAAAAAGAAGAACTGAAGGATGAAAAGGTCTAATCAACAGAAGAGTCAGGGAAGGGTAAAAGAAGGGCAAAGACCTGGAGGTGGGAAAGAGCTGGTCTAGATCAAAGAATAAATAGAGAGGAAGAATGCCGGGAATGGCACTGAAGACAGGCTGGGCCCATCAGGAAGAGTTGAGTCAGGAGATCAGATGTTCAGCTTGAGGAAACCAGGGAGCTCTGTATTTTGAGCAGGGGTAACATGACCTGATGATGTGTGTGAAGACCCCTCTTCCTGCTCCCACCTCACCCACCAGGCGCAGCTGGCCCGGGCGCTATACGACAACACAGCGGAGTCCCCGCAGGAGCTGTCCTTCCGCCGCGGGGACGTTCTGCGGGTACTGCAGAGGGAAGGCGCTGGTGGGCTGGATGGCTGGTGCCTCTGCTCCCTGCATGGCCAGCAGGGCATCGTGCCTGCCAACAGAGTGAAGCTCCTTCCGGCTGGCACAGCACCCAAGCCTGGCCTCTCCCAGGTGCCCCCAACCGAGCCAGGCTCACCACATCCAGCCCCAGAGCACGGCAGTGAGGACCAGGAGGTGAGCACTGGAGCCCCCCAACCCCGATCCTGGACAACCAGTTCCTCTCTGCTGGTGCAGGGGGGGACAGGAGGAGCCCCGAGACCCTGGCTCTGCACTGACTCTGCTGTACAAATCCTGTCTGCCAAGTCTTTCTGGGCTCTTTCTCCATTGGAACAGGGAAGGGGTTGGAAGGTGTCTAAGCTCCTCCCAGGCGCACATTATCTGATTCCCTGCTCCCCACTCCACCTGACCCACCTGCCTGTCGATCCCCCAGTTGTACGTGGTGCCACCTCCAGCTCGACCCTGTCCTACCTCAAGACCTCCAGCTGGACCCTGCCCACCCTCCCCTGACCCCATCTACAAGGTCCCCAGAGGTGGTGGGACCCAACTGGCTGGCCCTGGAGCTGCCTTGGAGGTGAGGGCTAGGGGTTCATGTGTCTGCTGGACAGGGGACAGCTGGCTCTCGGAGATGGGTTGGAGGAGTGGGGGCCCACTGCCGAGCCTGAGAGTGAGTAACTTCTTCCTCTGCAGGTCTACGACGTACCCCCCACTGCCCTCCGCGCTCCCTGCAGTGGCCCCTATGACTCCCCAGCCTCCTTTGCCCGCCCTCTGGCTCAGGTTGCCCCCCAGTCCCTTGGAGAGGATGAAGCTCCCTATGATGTGCCTCTGGCCCCGAAGTCACCATCAGACCTGGAGCCAGATCTGGAGTGGGAGGGGGGCCGGGAGCCAGGGCCCCCGCTCTACGCTGCCCCCTCCAACCTGAAACGAGCATCGGCCCTGCTCAATCTGTACGAAGCACCAGAGGAACTGCTGGCAGACGGGGAAGGCGGGGGCGCTGACGAGGGCATCTATGACGTCCCCCTGCTGGGGCCGGAGACACCCCCTTCTCCAGAGCCCCTGGGAGCTTCGGCCTCCAGTGACCCGGACACCCTGGCCCTCCTTCTGGCCAGAAGCCCCCCGCCCCCACACAGGCCCCGGCTGCCCTCAGCCGAGAGTCTGTCCCGCCGCCCTCTGCCTGCCTTGCCTGTGCTGGAGGCCCCCAGCCCTTCCCCGGCTCCTTCTCCTGCTCCGGGCCGGAAGGGCAGCATCCAGGACAGGCCGCTGCCCCCACCCCCTCCGCGCCTGCCTGGCTACGGGGGCCCCAAGGTGGAGGGGGATCCGGAGGGCAGGGAGGTGGAGGACCACCCTGCAGAACACCACAATGAGTACGAGGGCATCCCGGTGGCCGAAGAGTACGACTATGTCCACCTGAAGGTGAGCTTGCCTCAGTCAGCCCCCCAGAATGCCTGCAGGAGAACGGGGCTCAAGACCCGAGCTCCCAGAGGCAGACCCTGGCTTCCTCCATTCCCTCCTTCCCCTCTGCTGACCCTGCAGCCTGGGCCACATTTGTGTCAGTACTGCAACGCAACCTGGGGTCCCCAAGCTCTCTGACCTGCCACTAGGGCTCTCCCAGACCCAGAGTCGGGAGGCTGCAGATCTGATGGGAGGAGAGACCTTCAGGAGGAAGTGGGAGTGGGGAGGAGCGGAAAGACCACAGGGCCTACCTTGCCCTGCTCCCCTTCCCCTGCACTGAGGCCCTTATCCCCCGCTGCAGGGCATGGATAAGGCTCAGGAAGCCAGGCCTCCAGATAAGGCCTCCCCAGGGGATCCCGAACAGCTGGAGAGGGGGCCGCCAGAGCAGCAGGTAACCCGGTGCGGTTGGTGCTAGAGAAGGGGGCAGGGGAGAAGGAGCAGGGACTTGGAAGAAGGGGTATTCTTAACTGAAGCATCAAGGGAAGTCTATTTGGGGGGGTAAGAGTTCAATGAAACAGGACAGTTGGGGTAGAGAGGAATTAGAATCCAGAAAGGAGCTGGAACTTAGAAAAGGATATCAGGAATTCAGAAAGAGAGGAAAGAATGTGTTGGAGAGGAGTCAGGAAACCAAGCAGTCAGGGGAACAGAGTTGCTGGGCCAGGTGACTTCTGAGGCTCCTTCCAACTGTGAATTCCTGGGTTCCTAAGAGACCTGGCTCTTAATTCCAGCTCCACCACTAAGAAGCCAGGGCCTCTGAAGCCGCCAGTTAATCTCTCTGGGAGTCAGGGAAATGAGACTGTCTCCTCGACTCATGGTCTAGAATGGTCCTAATCACCATAGCTGCTGCTGCTAAGTCGCATCAGTCGTGTCCGACTCTGTGCGACCCCATAGACGGCAGCCCACCAGGCTCCCCCGTCCCTGGGATTCTCCAGGCAAGAACACTGGAGTGGGTTGCCATTTCCTTCTCCAATGCATGAAAGTGAAAAGTGAAAGTGAAGTCGCTCAGTCGTGTCCGACTCTTAGCAACCCGATGGACTGCAGCCCACCAGGCTCCTCCATCCATGGGATTTTCCAGGCAAGAGTACTGGAGTGGGGTGCCATTGCCTTCTCCGAATCACCATAGCTACCATCTGTCAAGTTTGTACCAAGCACCAGACCCTGTGCTCAGTACATTGCACCTGTCAGCACTGATCATAGGCATACTTAGATTACAGCTTGCAATGCTGTGCTCTCAGCTCTTTCTATGTACCCTATCAACGAATCTTCACTGCAGCCTTAGAAGGCAGAAAAAACAAGAACTGCACTATCCAGTGTGGTAGCCACAGCCACATGCAGCTACTGATCCCCAAGTGTGACCAGTCTAAACTGAAATGCACTATAAATATAAAATGCACACCAGATTTTGCAGACTTAGTATGAAAAACAATTTCAATAATTTTTATACTGATTACAGTGTTGAAACTACACCATTTTTAATTGTATGGAATTAGAAAATATGTACATTTTTAATGTATGGAATTAGAAAATATGTACCAATTTCTTTGTAAGTTTTCTAACGTGGCTACTTGGAAATTTGAAATAGCATGTGTGGTTGGCATTATGTTTACATGGGACAGTGTAGTGCTAGGCTCCCCATAGATAAAGGAGATAAAGGAATGATGAAGTTCAGAGACTTGTTTTTGAGGTTGTTTGAATCCAGATTTATCAGACATCAATTCTGGGCATCTTCCTGTCACTCACTAAGAGAATCTAAATTGTCTGATAGGCAAAGGCACAATCTAAGGGGGTCGAGCTCAGGGAGAAAGGAAGGCATGAGGAACAAAGGGAGGGAAGGAGAAAGGAGATAAGAACGGAAGTGGCACTGGCCAAGCAGTCCCGCTGAACACTCTTCTCACCCTCAGGAGGCCCTGTCCCCCGGGGAGCCACTGGTTCTGCCCACTGGAGATCTACAGCTCCTGCACTTCTACGCCGGGCAGTGCCAGGGCCACTACTCAACACTGCAGGCGGCTGTGGCGGCCCTGATGTCCAGCACCCAGGCAAACCAGCCCCCGCGCCTCTTTGTGCCCCACGGCAAGCGGGTGCTGGTGGCTGCTCATCGCCTGGTGTTCATTGGGGATACCCTGGGCCGCCTGGCAGCCTCTGCCCCGCTGCGAGCACAGGTCGGGGCTGCGGGCACAGTGCTGGGCCAGGCATTGCGGGCCACCGTGCTGGCCATAAAGGGGGCCGCCCTGGGCTACCCATCCAGCCCTGCAGCCCAAGAGATGGCGCAGTGCGTGGCGGACCTGGCAGGGCGGGCCCTGCAGTTCACCACTCTGCTCACCAGCCTGGCGCCCTGAGCCCCTCGTCTCCTCTCTGCCTTCACCTGCCTCCCAGAGCCGCCCCAGTCCTCAGGTGGCTGGAGGGCTCTGTTTTCGGGACTAGGAGACACTGAGGCATCCTTCCCCCTTACTGCCCTTTCCAGGCATCTCAGCCTCTCACTGAGGCCCCTCCGCCCCTACCCCACAGCTTTTTGTACGAGCCATTTTGTATAAATTATTTATATTTAATATTATTCCCTGCTTTGTCAGGGGCAGGACCTTCCTCCTCCCTCAGCCTGGGGTGGAGGTTCTTAGACTCTGCAAGGCCAACCCCCTCTGGAATCGTAACCCCACAGAGAGCCAAGTAGCTGAAACCTAGAGCCACCAGGAGCCCCTTTTTTGTCCTGTATCTTGGCTCTGGAACATCAGCGCCTCCCTGTTAGCTGAGAGCGAGGGCAAAACATTGGCAGCCCAGAGTGGGAAGGTCTGGGCGAGGCCAGAGGACTCCTCCACACAGAAGCAGGAGAGCTGGGCCTCTGACATGGTGCACCTCAATAAACCCGGGCTTTCTGGTTCCCCGACTCTGCTTCCTGGGAGCCTGGGGGGCAGGCCTTGGCCAAACTGTTGGGACACACACTGTGGGCAGTCTGCCTTTAGGGTTTGTGGGGAAATTCTGCTGTTCCTCCAACTATTCATCTAGCAGGTTCTCAGCTCCCATGATGTGCCAGGCACAGTTCTGAAGGTCCATTGTGGGGGTGGGCTGGATATAAACAAGTCAGCTGAAACAAGTAAATAAAAAAAAAAAGGAACCTGCCACAGAGTTGATAGTTGCTAGTAATGGAAATGAACAGGGTGATATGTGACTAAGTAGATGGGGAGAGGCCATTGGAGACTTTAGACAGGATTGCTGGGGAGGTGGTATCTGTGCTGAGACCCCGAGGATGAGAGAACCAAGAATAGTCTGCAACGTAGCATTCTGGGAAGGCAGGCCCTGATTCCTGACCAAGGCCTCTCCTCCAAGACCGATGTCAGATGATGTCATTAGAAAGTTGTACACATGGGGAGGGAGGCCACGAGAGAGCCTTGATGGTGCCCTGCTGAAGAGGTCACCCCAGCTGTGACCCACTGGAGAGAACTGGCCTGGGTGCCCTCTCCCTTAGGTTAACGCAAGAGGGTCTAGTTCCTTAAACTCCCCTTCCCGACTCCCTGCTGACTGTCCTTCCGGACACGCCACCTTCTGGAGGAGCTGAGGGGCCAATAAATTCAATGTGTTGGAAATCCATAGTGCACAGGGCCTTGGTGAAATTGATGGGCCACGGCCTAGACAGGGGATCACTTCAGTCGTTCACAAGGGGAGAAGTCCAAGCCACAGATTCATTGCTTAAGCTCTGCTTTCCCAAGATTCTACCCTGGCACAGTGACTGGACTGAAGGTACCCCAAAATTCAATCACAATCAGTCCCTTGGCCCCTCTCCCCATGCATTTGCCTCCTCCATTTGAGGTTCTTTGTTCTCATTCACTCTCAAACGAAACTCATTTCCAGAGGCTGGGGCCACCAAAATCCACCCCTAGGTGCTGGCATTGAAGACATAACAGAGGCCATCCTCCACCACTTTCCAGAAAGAATTTCAAGAGATCAGACTGGAATTAGAGTCAGAGGTCTCAATGCAAGTTTCCGTGTACCTGTGTCTGCAGGTAAATCCCATAAGATCCTCAGAGTCCTAGTTTCCTCTCTAATATGAGAAGGAACATAATGATCTCACAGGGCTCTTGTGAGGCCCTAGCAAGATAATGCATGTGAACAGCCCAGCAAGGCAGAAAGTTACATGGACTACAATTCCAGGACAGACACGAGGACACTAACAAATAAATCCCCAAGGAATGCTGCCTGTAACAGCACCAAAGTAAATCCTGAAGAGATGCTGAAATGGGTTGGGGTGGGCGGGAGGCTGTTTATTGCATTAGAAGTCTTTCCCATATCTGGAAAATTTCTGAACAGAGGGGACAAATTAGAAGTGTGGTTCAGTGGAGACTAGATGGAATGGATTTCCTGGTTGAGATTGACAGGACATCCTTTTCAACACTTACCTGGAATTAGAGAATAAAGAACCTATTAGAAATCAAATCTCAAAAAAAAAGAGGGGGAAATCAAATCTCTTTGAGGAGTGCATTTCTAACTTCAATGTAAGTATACCTGGGGATCTGGTTTAAAATGCAAATTATCTGAAACCAGCCTTCGATTCTACATTTCCAGCAAGTTCCCAGGTGATGTGGATGTTCCTGGTTTGTAAATCATACTTTGAGTAGCAATTCAAGGAGCTAGGGGAGATTTCTCTGAGGCAAATATGCTTGAACTGACAGATGAAGGAGAACTTGACTAAAGTAGAGGAGACTTCTAGGCATAAAGACCAGTTTATTCAAGGGCCCTGTAGCACTGGAAAAACTGAAAGAATGTCAGTGTGACTAGTGTGCAGAATTTGGAGAGAGAGAGCTGCAGAGATTATGGGATCACTATGAGGTCTAGAATATTGCATTTACCTTGACGGTGAGAATATGTTGATGGTTGTTAAATAGGAAAGGAACACAAACATCTGCATTTTGAAAAGATCAGTCCATCTGCATTATGAACAGATGGGGGAAAGGATTGGAAACAAAGCAGATATAGAGCACCGGTTAAGAACTGGGAGGCTAAAGCAGTCTGCGCAACAGGTAGCTTGACTAGTGGTGCCAGAGATAGATGGAAAGAAGCAGAATATCTGAGAACTACACAGGAAATCAAAGGGATAGGATTTTGTAGAGGATTTGACATGGGGTGGAGAGCGGGAGTAAGGAAGAGGGCACTCTAAGGGCTGTCACCTGAGCAACTGGCCACAATTGGATGGTGAAAGTGCCATTCAGTGAGGAAAGAAGAGCTAGAAGACAACCAAGTTGGGGGGACAGGGGAGATATGACCATGAGTTTGGTCTTGGACGTATTGACTTTGAGATCCTTGTGAGTCTTCCAGGGTAAGAAACCAAAGAGGTGGCTTCAAGGGTCAGAAGAGAGGTGGGAACTGGAGATGTAAATCTGGAAATCAGGTTTATATTGGCTCATATTATTTATACTGAGTTTGATGGAAGCTGCGGGCATAGGTGAGATTCTGAGGCGAGAGAACAGTGTGAGATGAGAGGAGGACCTAGAATCAAGTCTCTGAAGATCACAGGTGCTGACTGATGATGAGGAGAATGAGTCTGTGGTAGAAAAAAGAGTAGCAAGAGAAAGAAAATCAGGAGAGTGTGAGACCTGGCAGCCAGGGAAGAAAGAGTTTAGAGGAAGGGGTAGCCAACAATGCCAAATGCTGTTGAGAAATGATGGAAACCCAGCCAGGATGTGGGTTGTGAAATCAGAGAAGTGGTCTTGTAGAGGACTAAAGCCAAGGCTGAGACAGTACCCAATGCAGTCCACCATATGCATGCCCTGTAGCATCCTTTCCAGTATACCTGTCTATCTCCTCCATAAGCCACTCTGAGGTCGGTCTTGTCCATCCTGTTATCCCCAAAGCCTAGCACAAGGCCAGAATATAGAAGACACTTAATAAATTGTACTGATCAGTGATGGATGGATGGATGGATGGATGGATGGATGGATGGATGAGGAGGAAGAATTGGAAGCAAAAGAGGAATCGCTGGCACCTGCCTGGGATGTACTATCCTTTAGTTATTCCCTTTATACCGCAATGGCCCGCAGACCCAGGGAACAGAGACAGAGCCCCATCTTCTCCCTCCCCTGAGTCCCGGCCCCCCTTCCTCTCTCTGACGAAGAGTCTGGACCGAAGGCTCTGCTGACGTTGGAAGGGGAGGAGAGTCTGGAGGAAGGGGAGGGGAAAGCGGCGCAGAGATCGCAGAGACGGAGGAGGCGCCCGCGGCTGCAGAGCTGCAGAGCGGGGTCTCTCGGCTTCTGTGTCCGGGCAACGGGCGCGCCACTGGGCCAGAGGACAGCGCATCCTTTCCGTGCGGGCCGCCTGGGCCCCTGCGGTCGGCAAACTGGCTCCCCGGGTAGCCACCGGGACCCCCGAGCCCAATGGCGGGGGCGGCAGCAAGATCGACAGCACTGTAGAGATCACCCCCAGCCCCAACGGAGTAAGTGCCCGCGCCCTGGGGGCTACGCCATCATCTCCCCGCACCCCGCGACGAGCGCCTGGCATTTTCCTCCCGCGCAGCCCCCGCGGCAGACCGCCTTCCTCCCTCTGGCGCCCGCCCTCTTCCCTTACCCTGCGGTTTTCTCCGCTTCACCCTTCTCCTGCCACCCCTCCACCCCCCACTCCCACCCCCAGCAGGTCGGGACCCTTGGCGATGCGGTGCCCACGCAGCAGCTGCAGGGTGAGCGGGAGCGCGAACGCGAGCGGGAGGGGGAGGGCCACGCGGGCGGCGACGGGATGGGCAGCAGCCTGTCGCTGGCCGTGCCCCCCGGCCCCCTCAGCTTCGAGGCGCTGCTCGCCCAGGTGGGGGCGCTGGGCGGCGGCCAGCAGCTGCAGCTCGGCCTCTGCTGCCTGCCCGTGCTCTTCGTGGCGCTGGGCCTGGCCTCCGACCCCATCTTCACGCTGGCACCCCCGCTGCATTGCCACTACGGGGCCTTCCCCCCCAACGCCTCCGGCTGGGAGCAGCCCCCCAACGCCAGCGGCGTCAGCGTGGCCAGCGCGGCCCTAGCCGCCAGCGCCGCCAGCCGCCTCGCCACTAGTACGGACCCCTCGTGCAGCGGCTTCGCTCCGCCGGACTTCAACCACTGTCTTAAGGACTGGGACTATAACGGCCTTCCGGTGCTCACCACCAACGCCATCGGCCAGGTGAGGCGGCCCGTGGGCCGCGGGCCTGGGGGCGGGCCGAGAGCCACCAGCGAGGGGTCTCACACCCGCTCCTCCCTCTCACATCCCCAGTGGGATCTGGTGTGTGACCTGGGCTGGCAGGTGATCCTGGAGCAGATCCTCTTCATCTTGGGCTTCGCCTCCGGCTACCTGTTCCTGGGCTACCCAGCAGACAGGTGAGGGCTCAGCAAGTAGAGAGGAGGGCTTGCTAGGGAGGCTGACCCAGGCAGCTAGCCTTCGCAAGAGGCTGAAGAGGCTTTGCTCAACTCTGCAGTGTCCTCTGGATTTCTTCTATTCATTGACAGGCGGCCCCACCACTGTCTCAACTTCACTCCCCACCAAGAAATACTCTTACCATACCTCTTCCACAGAGAATAACTCTCCCCCCACTGCCAGTCCCACACCCATGAATCAGTGGCCCCATCCCTACTCACCAAAACCCCTCGGTCCACAGAAGTCCTAACTCCTCTATTGTCCTATTACCACCAAGCTCCTCACTTGCCATCTTCATAGATTAATCCCTGTTAACAGTACTGTCTCCCTGGACTGTTAGCTCTGTCTCAGTGGCCTCATTCCTAAAATCATTATGTTAATTTTCTAAATATCAACAGCCCCATTCTCACTGGCCAGTAGTTCAACTCTTCAAACAAATGACTAACCTCTTGGGGGGGGTCCATAGTTTAACCCCCATGGATCAGTGACAACAATAGCACCCCTCACCCCAGGCTAATAGTCCCATCCTCATGGATCATTAGTGCTCTCAGATCCTTTCAGATCAAAAGCCTCATTTCCAGGAATCAGTGGCTTCATCTCAAAGATCTACAAACCCATCCCCATCAACCAGCAGCTCTTCCCAGGGGTCAAAACTCCATCTCTGATCCTCGACACCATCACCACTGACCAGGTGCTCCATCCTTGGGGATTATTAGACATCTCCATTGGTCTACAGTCCCATCCAAATGGCTTTATAGTTCAACTCCCATGGCTCAAAGGCAACCCACCATTCAATAATCCAGTTCCCTAAAAACAATACCTATCCTCACTGCCCAATAGTCATACACCCCTGTGGGCAAATGATCCTAAACCCATAGGTCAATAGCCCATCCTCATGCCTCAGTGACCTCATACCCCAAGACCAGTAGCATCATTCCTCTGTAATAATAGCCTCATACCCAAAGACCTAAATTCAGCCTCCTAAATTCAGTAGCCTTAGCCAATAAGCTCAACCCCATGGAAAATGGTCTCACCCTACTGGGTCAGTAGTTTCACTCTCAGGCATCAGTGTCCCCTTCCCAATGACCAGTGACCCCAGTCTACATCCATATTACACCAGTGCTCTTATCTCTAAAAATCAGTAGCCTCGCTTCCAAGGATCAGTAACCCTGTCCCCACTGACTCACAGTCTGTGACCATCACCACTGACCAATAGTCTCTCATATTCTCTGCTTTGTGACCCCATGCTTACCGATTATCCATATGGATTAATAGATTCACCCCTACTGGCCGATAGTCCCATCCATCTTGACTGAAATTCCTACCCCAGGAATTAATAGCTACATCCCCAAAGATCAACTGTCCAATCTTCAGAGGTTAGTGATCAGCCCCACTGATTAATAGTCCTGTCTCATGGATTAAGAGCTCCACTCTCATGGATCAATGGCTCCATCTTCTGGTCAGTGACCCTATCCCACTGACCACCCCTATGGGTTAGTAGACCCATGCCCCAATCCCATGGAAAAATGGCTTCATCCCCCCAAATCAACTACTCGGTTCCCAAAGGTCAAGAGCTCCATTTTCACTGACCAATACTATCCCCATGGACAAGTGGCCAATGGCCCACCTCCTTAGATCAGTAGTTCCAACCCTGTATGTCAACAAGCCCATCTCCTCTGATCAGTCTGAGCAAGACAAGCTCCATCCCCACTGACCAATCTCTCTATTGCCAAGGTCTCAGGGATCCAATTCCCCTAAGCAATATCGCATCCCCACTGATGGCTGGTCTCACTTCCATGAAGAAATGCCTTCATCTCTGACCTATAGCCCTGAGAGTCAGTGGTCACAGCCCCCACAGAACAACAGCCACGCCCCAGTGCCCTGTAGCCAGGGTCCCCATCCTTCCCCGTCTCCTGTAGCCTTAGTCCAATCCTCGTTCCCCGGGCCTCATCCTCGTATCTCCATCTCTGAAGTGGGCAGCTGGACCCCACCCAGCCACTCCTCCCTCAGGAAGTCTGGGTGACCAGAGGCTCTCCCTGCTCTCCAGGTTTGGCCGACGCGGGATTGTGCTGCTGACTCTGGGGCTGGTGGGCCCCTGTGGGGTGGGAGGTGCTGCTGCAGGCTCCTCCACGGGCGTCATGGCCCTCCGATTCCTCCTGGGCTTCCTGCTTGCTGGCGTTGACCTTGGTGTCTACCTGATGCGTGAGTGGCACCCTTCCAGAGCTTCTTCCCTAGGGGCTCATGCCTGCCTGTCTGGATCCCCAGGTCATTGCCACTGCTCCCTAGGGCCCCTCGGTCCCTTTTTCAGCTGTCTGGAATCTCGGCTGTCTCTCTGGCCAGGCCTTTAAAGGATCCAGCGGTCTTGCTTCTCACACGCCCCTCTCCTTCCATGATCTTTAAAGCTTTCCCTGCCCTGGACTTACTGTTGTCAGGGAATGAGCCTTATTTTAAAAATGAAATAGTAGCTGTATGACCTTGAACAAGGGTTCATGTGAAGGTCAAATAAGAGGTCTGATGTGAAAGGGCCCATAAACTGGGGATGCTGAGCCCCCGCAGGAACTCTGAGCCTCAAGCCCTCCCATGTGTGAGCAGGAGAGAGGAGAGGACCAAACAGCCTCTCCACTCTGCCTTAGAGCATAGTCTGTGGGAGGGAGTGGCTGCAGCCTCCACTCAGGGTCTGACCTTGCTTTCTGTCCTCCTCCCTCCCCTCCCCTCTTCTCTTCCACGCCTCCTTCCTCCCCGGCCTCTCCTCCCTGTCCCTGCTGTATCTCCAGGGCTGGAGCTGTGCGACCCAACCCAGAGGCTTCGGGTGGCCCTGGCAGGGGAGTTGGTGGGGGTAGGGGGGCACTTCCTCTTCCTGGGCCTGGCCCTTGTCTCTAAGGACTGGCGATTTCTTCAGCGAATGATCACCGCTCCCTGCATCCTCTTCCTGTTTTATGGGTCAGTATCACCCTCCACCTGTTGTCTGGCCATTCCCATCTCTACCTCCTACCTGTAGCTCTAGCCTGCAGACCCCTCCTCTTCTCCACTGCCCCTCGTCCAGGCCTGCTCCAGCCCCAGCCCCTCAAGAGGTGGGAGTTTTCCATCCTGGGTCAGTAGACGGAAAGCCTCACAGTGCACCCCTTCCCTCCTGCCCCAGCTGGCCGGGTCTGTTTCTGGAGTCCGCGCGGTGGCTGATAGTGAAGCGACAGATTGAGGAGGCCCAGTCTGTGCTGAGGATCCTGGCTGAGCGGAACCGGCCCCATGGGCAGATGCTGGGAGAGGAGGCCCAGGAGGCCCTGCAGGGTAAGAGGCAGGGGCCCCACCCATGTAGGAGGACCCTGGGTGCTCAGCTGTTCCTTCTAACAGCGCCTCTCTCTCTCCCAAGACCTGGAGAACACCTGCCCTGTCCCTGCAACATCCTCCTTTTCCTTCGCTTCCCTCCTCAACTACCGCAACATCTGGAAAAATCTGCTTATCCTGGGCTTCACCAAGTGAGCCTGGGTGTCGGGGCCAAGGGCCAGGCTGGTAGCTAGGATGGGGGCTGGCTGGGTGGGGAAGGCCTGAGGACCCCTGCAGAGGGCAGCCAGGGTGGTGAAAGGCTGCAGGTGACAATGCAGACACCACAGACGCTGTCCTCTACCTCTCGCCCTGTCTCACAGCTTTATTGCCCACGCCATTCGCCACTGCTACCAGCCTGTGGGAGGAGGAGGGAGCCCATCGGACTTCTACCTGTGTTCCCTGCTGGCCAGCGGCACAGCAGCCCTGGCCTGCGTCTTCCTGGGGGTCACTGTGGACCGATTCGGCCGCCGGGGCATCCTGCTTCTCTTGATGACGCTCACTGGCATTGCATCCCTGGCCCTGCTGGGCCTGTGGGATTGTAAGCACCCTCCCTTCCCCACAGTGTGGGCTCAGCCAAGGAACCCCAGCAGAGGTGCCCCACATGGACTCAGCCACTGCTTCTGGCTCAGGCTTCCCAGGACCAGACCAGATCCTGTCCAGATCTTTTACAACCTTCCCCTGGCCGCACACTCCAGTCTGTTCTCCCAACTGATCATGAATGCCCAGGCACACCTGGCTAGGGATCAGAAGGGGTGATGGCAGAGACAAGGCCAAGCTTGATCTGCCGCCTCCACTCACACGCCCCGTCTTGTCCCTCCAGATCTGAACGAGGCCGCCATCACCACCTTCTCTGTCCTTGGGCTCTTCTCCTCCCAAGCTGCCGGCATCCTTAGCACCCTCCTTGCTGCCGAAATCATCCCTACCACGGTCCGGTGAGAGCAGGCGTGCTGCCAGGGCGTCCTCCCGGCCTCTGTCTGAGGACAGGGCCTGAGGGATGCAGGAGGAGTGGCCGCTGGGGAAGGGTGGGGATGAGGCCCACAGCCGCAGGCTCAGTGCCTTGTCGTCTCTCCCAGGGGCCGAGGCCTGGGCCTCATCATGGCGCTGGGGGCGCTCGGCGGGCTGAGTGGCCCAGCCCAGCGCCTCCACATGGGCCATGGGGCCTTCCTGCAGCACGTGGTCCTGGCGGCCTGTGCCCTCCTCTGCATCCTCAGCATCATGCTTCTGCCGGAGACCAAGCGCAAGCTCCTGCCGGAGGTGCTCCGGGATGGGGAGCTGTGCCGCCGGCCTTCCCTGCTGCGGCAGCCCCCCCCCAACCGCTGTGACCACGTCCCGCTGCTTGCCACCCCCAACCCCGCCCTCTGAGCGACCTCTGAGCACCCTGGCAGGAGGCTGGCCCATACCGAAAAGTGGCACAAGGCCCTGGCAAGGAGAGCGGGAGGACTGAGTGAGCTCGGCAGGGCTGCCCGCGAGGCCCAGAGGCACCTCGGGCCAGACATGAAGGAGCGCTCAGAGGGCTGCCCTCACCCCATCTCCTCCCCACTGCTGCTTAGTGTTCACTTCCTTGGCTAGAGTCAGGGGGCAGGGAGAGAGCTCCACACTGTACCGCCAGGTCTGGGCTCCATCCTGTGCCCAACCACATCCTCCCAGACCTCATTCTTTCTTGCTCTATCATTCTGTTTCAATAAAGACATTTTGAATAAATGAGCCTACCATAGCCTGGACTTCCCTCCCTTCTGTTGTCCTCCTGACTGTCTCTTGGGGAAAGGTGGAATCCAAACCATTAACCATCTCCTTCTCCTTCCCTGTGCCCTGCTCCCACCTCCATGTTAACTTACAGACAATTAACCACCCCTTACTGATGGCTTGCTCTGCTGCTAGGACTGGGCTAGGCACTTCACAAACTTCATGTAATCATTTAATCCTCGCAACCTTGCAAGGTAGGTGTCTGCATCTATTAAAGTTTTTGTTGTTGTTGTTGTTGTTGCAGGCAGTAATAACTGACTGACTCCAATGAACTTAGAGCAACAAAGGGAACTTATTAGAGGGATTTGGTGGGGGCAGGCTGTGGTTCTACCCTATGGGGAAGCTCATGGGGTAGAAGGAAAAGCGGAACTAGTTATAAAAGGCCAAGAACCAGAAAGGGCAAGAGAGTCAATGACTGGCTAGCTTGCCTATCACAACCACCCCCACCCCCATTACTGACAACTGCAGAGGGGGAAGCAGTACCTGCCTGAGTGCTGCTAGCAGAAGACTGGATGTTGTACAGGTGAAAAAATGGATGCCCACCACAGTATTCCTTTTCTTTTACAGATGACAAAACTGACACCCAGAGACTCAGTAACTTGCCCAACATTACAAAGTTAAGGAGTGATAGCTGGGGTATAACTGGATCCTGGAGCTGGTGCTCTCTAATGACGCACACTGTGGCCACCTTCCCAATCCTTCCAATCTTTGTACACCACCCTGGGAATCGAGGAGTGAGTCTCCAGCCCCCGCCCCTGCCCCGGGAGGGGGCAGTAGGAGAATGGGTCTTCACCTCAGTGCTAGGGCCTGCCTCTAACTAACCCTGGCCTGGCTTTGGGCCAATTTCTCAACCTCCAGCCCCCTTCAAGGGCTGCTATGAGGATTAAACAAGATAATGTATGTGCCTCAAATTTTCCCACTAGATGGTAAGTTCCTTGAGGAAAGGAACTTTGTCTTACTCAACTTTGAAACACCAAAGCCTGATCCATGATAGGTGTTCAAACAGTTGTATTTGTTCATTCTTTTGGCAAATCTTTCCTGTGCCAGATTTACAGACCAGTACTATCCTGGATATTAGGATTTCAAGGAGCTTGAAATCCACCTAACACTGGGAATATTAATGAGGAGGAAGACAACAGTGGTTGGAGCATCAAAAGGCTGCCTATTGAAGGAAGTGGGACTCAGAGAGGCAGGAAGACCTCAGGCAAAGACCCAGGAGACAGGTACATTGTTCTCAATTCAAAGGCCATAAAGCAGGGGGCTTCCCTGGTGGCTCAGTGGGAAAGAACCCACCTGCCAATGCAGGAGACGTGGTTTCAACCCCTGGGTTGGGACAATCCCCTGGAAAGGCAATGTCAACCCATTCCAGTATTTTTGCCTGGGAAATCCCATAAAGAGAGGAGCCTGGTGGGCTACAGTCCATGGGGTCGCAAAGAATCAGACACAACTGAGTGACTAAAGAACACGGAGAGCAGAGGCCTCGAGGGAGGAAAGGCTGAGACGGCCCTAGAGGAGGAATTCTTGGGAAAAGCAAGTCTGGAGGCCAGCCTCTTCCACATAAGGGAGGCCAGTACCCACAGGTTCCTGCAGTTCCTATCTCCTTTCCCTCTGCCAATCCATGTCCCAGGCCCGGAGCTCTGGAACTAAGCCTCACTTCTGAGTTCTCAGTCACTGGAGAACTCATGGGAATCCTTCTCATTTAATCTTCAGTCCCCTGAAATAGGTGTTAGTAGTTTTATCCTATTTAGCTATTGAGGGGATGGAAATGAGAGAAATGGAAGGAACTGCTGTGAAAGGCAGAGCCAGGACTTAAACCCAGGCCTTCCGACTGTTCTTTCTTCTACCAGAGTTCCCACACAGCTAGACATTCTGCATCATATATTCTGCCCAACAGTGTCTGCGCCATCTGAACTGACTCCAATGTTGCCTTTTTTTTGGCCGTACCGCACGGCATGCAGGGTCTTCATTCCCTGACTGGCTGTGTCAAACCCGCACCCTCTGCAATGGGAGCGCAGAGTCTTAGCCACTGGACTGCCAGGGAAGTCCCAGTGTTGACTTTTTAGCTCTGAGTGGTCAATGATAACACAAGAAAGCATACTCATCGCTGCCTCCAGAGATTCTGCGAGAACCAACAGAATGGTAAATAAATACATTTTGGAAGATCCCATGTAAAGCCAAGGAGTTACTTATATGCTAATGACAGTCTCTAAAGCACACTGTGAGGAACAGTGTCAAAGAGGCATTTCAAAGAACACATCCTTTGCATACCGCTAGAAAAAGTTCCAAGTAAGGAAAACAAAAATACTCAGGAAGCTCGGGCAGCTCCTGTAGCAGGGTAGGTAAGAGAAAGCAAGCCTCTCCGACTTCAAGCAAAGAGGTAAAGGCAAAGAAAATGGTAGCATTCGAGAAGCATCAAGGAAGCCCAGGGAAAGATAGGATCCCTCCACCCCAAGCAACTCACGATCTAGGTGGGAAGGAACCATGTGTGTCGCTGCAACTGGCACCTTGTCAGTTGCTCTAAAATTCACCAACCACATGGTCTCCTTGGACCCTTATCAATACCCCATGAAACATGGCTATTTTCATGTTTTTCAGATGGGAAGACTGAGGTTTGGACCTCCGTCACTTTTGCAGTGACTGGTAGAGTAGTCAGATCTTGAGAAATGAGAAGCTTCAATCTTCTTACTGCACAGTAAATAATTCTAAACACCATGAAAGAAAGTATTACTTATCCTGTGATATTGAGAAGGTACTCCCAGGAACCTAGAGATCATTTTCAGACAAACAAGGAAACAACTACTTTCCCTGAAAAGGTTGTACTGATGAAATATGAACTGTTTTTAGAAATGTTTTAGATGGATTCACAACTAAAAGCCACAATGGATTATTGAGGGAGAAATTAAAAGGATATACAGGTTTACATTTCTAACCTTAAAAAGTTACATAAAGTGATATGAAAGCCACTTCCATTCTTCATTCAGTCAACCTAGCGTGTCTACCTTGCAACTGATTTTTACTGATTATCCACTACTTTCTGGTGCTGCCTCAGGTCTGGGGAGCATGGTTCTGGCCTGGAAGAGCTCAGAACTCTTGGAGATAATTACTATCCTATACAGAAAATGCAGAGAAATGGAAGAAGTGCTATAGCACCTCAAGGAGGATTGGATATATTCTATTGGAGGCAGTCAAGGAAAGCTTCTCAGATATTTGGATTGGACCTTACAGGTAAAGTTGTGAGCTTGCCAAGGACAGAAAGAAGAAACAGTGCAAGACTAGAGACATGACAGAACATGGCACACGTGGAGACCACCACAGAATGGAGAACGTGGTGTATGTAGAGAACCATGGAATAAAGGGCAGCTATGAAAACCCACAGCTAACACTGTATTCATCAGTGAAAGTCTGAAAGCTCTTCCCCCAAGATCGGGAACAAGACAAGGATGTCTGCTCTCACCACTTCTATTCAACGTTGTCCTGGAGGTTCTAGCCGGAGAAATGAGGCAAGAAAATGAGATACAGGCATACCTCAAAGATACTGTAGGCTCGGTTCCAGACCACTGCAATAAACCAAGTTACACAAATTATTTGGTTTCCCAGTGCATATAAAAGTTATGTTTATACTGTATTGTAGTCTATGAAATGTGCAATAGCATTCTGTCTATAAAAGACAGTGTACATACCTTAATTAAAAATAACTTCAGTGCTACAAAATGCTAACCATCACCTGAGGATTTAGTGAGTTGTAATCTTTCCATTGGTGGAGGGCGTGAAATATTGTGAGAACTGCCAGAATTGCCAAAATGTTACACAGAGACATAAATTAAGCAAATGCTGTCTGAAACTGGTGCCAACAGTCTCGTTTAATGCAGGGTTGCCACAAACCTTCATTAAAAAAAAAATGTAATTATCTTCACAGTGCAATAACGCAAAACCCAATAAAATGAGATATGTCTGTAAAAAGCACGAAGAAAGGAAAAGACAATGTAAAACTATATTGCAGGTGACATGATCTTGTATACAGAGAATCCTAAAGAATCCACACCAAAAAAAAAAAATACACAAAACCCCTTTAAGAACTAAATAAACAAGTTCAGCAAGATTACTAAACTTGAGATTGAACTTGGAGGACACAAGATCAATATACAAAATGAACTGGGGTGTTTTGGGGGGGGGGGGCGGTTTGTCCACACCATGCAGTTTATAGGATCTTAGTTCCCCAACCAGGGATTGAACCTGGGCCCCTGGCAATGAAAGCTCAAAGTTCTAACCACTTGACCACCAAGGAATCCCCAAGATCAATTGTTATCTTTATTTTTTTAATTGCATTTTTATAATAACTGCAATGAACAGTCTGAAAATGAAATTAAGAAGAGAATTCCATTTAAAATAGCTAAACCCCAAATATTCAGGAATAAATTTAATAAAAGAAGTGCAAGACTTGTACACTGTGTTCCTAGATTGGAAGACAATATTGTTAATATGCAACCTTCTACAAATTGATCTATAGATCCTACAGAAATGCATTTCTCTGCATTTTCTGTATAGGACTGTAACTATCTCCCAGTGTTCTGAGCTCTTGCAGACCAGGACCATGCCCCCCAGACCTGAGGCAGCACCAGACAGTAGTGGATAATCAGTAAAAATCAGTTGCAATCCCTGTTAAAATCTTAGCTATCATTTTTGCAGAAACTGATCAACTGATTCTAAAATCCACATGGAAATGTAAACGACCCAGACTTGTTAAACAACCCTGAAAAAGAGCGAAACTGGAGAACTCATACTTTTCACTTTCAAAACTTATTACAAGGGGCTTCCCTGGTGGCTCAGTGGTGAAGAATCTACCTGGCAAGGTAGGATACATGGTGTAGATCCCACAAGCTGTGGAGCAGCGAAGTCCCTGCACCACAACTAATGATCCTGTGCTCTAGAGGCCGAAAACCGCAACTACTCAGCCCAGGTGCCACGACGAGAAGCCACTCACTGAAATGAGAAGCCCATGCACTGCAACAAGAGAAAAGCCTTCGCAGCAACAAAGACTCAGTACAGCCAAAAATTAAACAAAAACAAAACTCCAGTAACTAAAACAGGGTGCTAACTGGCATAATGACAGACATATAGATATGTGGAACAAAATTCAGACTCCAGAAATAAACCTGCACACTTAAGAGTCAACTGATTTTCAGCAAGGGTGCTAAGACCATTCAATGGGGAAAGAATAGCATTAAACAACTTGTTTATGTGTTTCTTGTTTTTGGCTGCACTGAGTCTTCTTGCTGCACTCTGCTCTCAGCTGTAGCGACTTCGGGCTGCTCTCTGGTAGCAGCGCGGGGGCAGAGCGAGGCTCCAGGTGGGTGGGCTTCAGCAGTTTCGGTGCAGGGGCTTAGATGCCTCAAGGCGCATGAAATCTTCCCAGACAAGGGATCCAATCAGTGTCCCCTGCATTGGCAGGCGGATTCTTAACTGCTCGACCACCACGAAAGTCCAGAAGAGCCTTTTAAACAAATGGTGCTGGAACAAATTCATCATTTGCATGCAAAAGAATGAAGTTGGTCCTCTACTCATACCATACACAAAATTAATGCAAATGGATGAAAGGCTTTATATAAGAGCTAAAACTATAAAACCCTTAGGAAAAAACATAAGCATAAATCTTAGTGACTTTTGTGCTTCAAAGGACACTATCAAGAAAGTGAAAAAACCCACAAAATTGGAGAAAATATATTTGTAAATCATTTATCTGATAAAGGTCTAGTATTCAGAATATATCAAGAACTCATACAACTCAACAATAAAGACAAATAACCCAATTAAAAGGTGGACAAAGATTCTATCTTCATAGAAGATATACAAAAGGTCAGCAAGCCCATGAAAAGATATACCCAAGAGAAACGAAAACATATGGTCACACAAAAACTTACACACAGATGTTTGGAGCACACATTCATTCCTAATGGTCAAAAAGTGGGAATATCCCAAATATCCACCAACTGATGAATGATAAACAAAATGTGGTGTAGCTCTATATTTGATCCTTGAACTTGGGGGTTTAGGAATGTCGACCCTCCATGTGGTTCAAAATTTGCAAAATTCTTACAGCCTACCCTTCATGTCATAGGTAGCTCTGTATCCATGGGTTCAACTAACCATTGACCATGTACTTACTACTCTAGTACATATTTACTGAAAAAACCCACATTTAAGGGAGCCCATGCAGTTCATGATCAACTGTATAATGAAATATTCAGCCATCAAGAGGAATGAAGTATTGGTAAACACTACATGGATGAATCTTGAAATCATTTTGCTAAATAAAAGCAGCCAGGCAGAAATAGCCATATATTATATGAGCCCATTTACATGAAATATCCAGAAAGGTCCTATCTGTAGATATATAAAGTATATTAGTGGTTGCTTGAGACTTAGAGGGGAAAATTGGGAATGCTTGCTAATAGGTATACAGTTTCTGTTTGCTGTGATGAAAATGCTCTAATTAGGTAATGCACCGTTAGGTAATGGTGATGATTACTATATACATATGTACATATATATGTATAAATAATATGGTTACTATAAAGACATCCACTAAATATCACTGAAATTTAAGTACACTTCAAAGGCAAATTTTATGGTATAAGAATCATATCTCAAAAAAAAAAAAAAAGAAATTCATAGAGCCTTCTGGTGGGATGAAAGGCAGAAGTCAGAAATATCGTAAGCTTTCTTCAGCAAATAACACAATTTCCTTTACTTTAAAAAAAAAAATTTTTTTTTACATCTTTTTAAGGATTTTTATTTATTTGGCTATGTCAGGTCTTAGCTGCAGCACTCAGGATCTTTATTTGTAGCATGAGGGATCCAGTTGCCTGACCAGGTATCAAATCTGGGCCCCCTGCATTGGGAAAATGGAGTCTAGACATAGACCACCAGGCAAGTCCCTAAAGTTCCTTTAGTGTCCGTTAGTACCTTTTTCTGTGCCAAATTTGAGCATCTAGAACAGTGCCCAGTACTTGATTAAATATTCAAATGTCTGTTGAATGAATGATTACCATAGGCATAAAGGCGGAAAAGGCATTAGCTGAGTCAACATTTTAAAACCAGATATCTGAGAAAGGTTACTCATCTAACCATAAAAACCGAGGAAAGCTATTACATTATGGAAAAAACCCAGCCACTGCTTTTTTCTATTGCTGGTGACAAGTTGGGCAAATTCTGAGAAAGCACTGGGCTGTCCTCATTCATTTTGTATCACATAGTCCCTCTTGATTCAGACTCCAGAGAAATCTTAAGACCAGCTCCCCTAATCTCTCAAGGACACTTCCTGCCTACAGAATCCAAATGAGACTGGACTCATTCCTGCCCCATTGGTTAAGAGAGTTTACTAGGAATGACTGACAGAAAACCAACCAATCTTTTTCAAGGAAAGCAACTTGCTTCCCAAGCTACTTCCTCTAAAATCACTGAGGATGATACATGAATAATGAAGAGACCAGGTAGAACAGGAAATTTAATTCTAAGGATAGGAATCAGCAGGTCCAGGAAAAAGGGACCATCCAAGTTGAATGATCACTTTCTGCGCACCTAAGTGGCAGGTGCCGTAAGGCCATGCAAAGGCACAATCCACACCCTTCAATTTTTAGTCTAGTGGGGAAACAGGGATGGAATCATTTAAGTTATGAAACCATTAAGTTCCAAAGAGAAGCAATTTGCCCTGAGTGCAGACATGCTTCTTTCTGCCCAGGAAATCAAGTTAGTTTCCTGGCTGTGGTATTTGGCTTATACACCTTGGCTTCTATCTTAGCATTCTGACAGAGTAAATGTGATATGCATAGCAGGCTAAGCAGCAACGAGCAATACATGAAAATAAAAACTCAAAAAAATAAAATAAAATAAAAATTCAACAGGAGTGCACAGTGTATCAGATGTACAGCAGGATGTGGCAGGAAAAAGTCAATCAGGATCAAATTGGGAGAAGCCTTAGTTCCACACCTAACAGCATATGGGCCTTTCCAGAAACATGAATTGGAACCACCAATCTGCCGTACCACTACAATTAAGAACTGTTCAAAAATTAAAGTCGAAGACATATAGGATATTGATATCTTGACTGAACATAGAAAATTATAAAAACTAAGGTTCAAAAAAGGAACTCACCCTCCAAGAGCAAACAAGTTTACAGAATTTATATAGTCACTTACTGCCCCCTGGTGGATAGACAATACCTCCCCAGCATTAGGAACATCAAGCGTTAGGATGTTGCACATTTTCCTAAGTTACTTATCCAGTCTCTTGCTAATCAGCCTCTGAAATTTCCATACTCAGCTTACAAGACACTGTTCTAGTTCAGTCTAGACAGAGAAGACTCCCAAATACCTAACAAAGGATGTAACAGCAGGTAGTACAAATGATCAAATGCTCAATTACTGGATGGTCAATACGGACCTGAAATTTCAAGCCATTTGAGAGGCAGACGAAGGCTCCATGAACGTAGAAAGCTGTTTCTTTAATCTAAGATTATCAAAAAGAGCATCTATGTCGAAGTCAATCATGAACAAAACATCCTAGGAACAGAAGTAAATGGTTCAATAAAACAGGTTTAGATATTTAGAAACCCTGTAAATGCAGCCTATAAAGGGTTGGAGGGGTGTGATGCAGTACCCAAGGACTTTTACTTAGAATATAAAAATGGAGAAATCAGGTTATTAATATGACTAAGCAGCTAAACTAAAGGATGTTCAATGACTAGTTTTCCTAATGGAACCACCCAAAATAAGTCAGCTGAACATATTAAGTGGCCCCAAATTGCTAGAGAAGATAACCTAAGCTTTGCAGTTATCATTAAAC